CCAAGTTTGTGAAAACTAAGAATTGTTGGTAACAGGTTTTGCTTAACTATAGTTAGTGTGGGGAATTTTTGGCACCATATTCACGTTCAGAATAGAACTTACTTATATATGCTTATGAAGTTGTGGATGCATGAGCTGATTGTCAAAGGATCTCCATCATTGTTTGTAAAAGCTGTGAAAGCTAGATAACCTCACATGGGCATATAAATATTTTTCTTCTTATCTAAAGCAACTTTTGGCGTCGTGCGTGACAGTGACACATCAAAGTTAAGCAAAAGTAATCTGTAAAAGGAAATTGTAGCAAAGAATCCAACATATTCTAAACAATAGATTGTACTGTCTAGTTGGAATAATGTTATTGATTTTGGAGGAACACAAGGGTTCGTACGTGAGTTCACAATCCAAGTAAGTAGAGAGGGAAAAGGAAAAGGAAAAGGAAAAGGAAAAGGAAAAGGAAAAAGAGAAGAAACCCTGGATTCGTGTGAAGATCTAGCTAGAGCTAGATGCTTAGTTAGGCGTTCCATATATAGATGGCATATTTATCTATAACACTTGATCTCTAAGTACTTGACCTTTTTCATCTCAGTGCAATAAATAAAATCCCTTGATCAATCATTTTCAAGTCCAAGAAAGGAAGCCATTCTCTTGAGTTCAACATCCAAGAGGGTCTCCAGAGGGTCAAATTTCTCTGCCAAGAGATGGTGACAATGATCAGAAGGTGATGATGAGCTAGGACTGTTGGTTAAGCCTACCTGTTTGTTGTTGTGCTCTTCCTCCATTTGTGGGACCTTTGAGTTTGAATCATCACCAATCAACAAATGGCTTTGATCAATATCGATCAGGAAATCACTCAAAGAAGCTTCATCACTACTACCCTCCACTTTATTTGAGGGACTACACCTATTATTTTCCACAATTTTACTGTATTCAACTGCACTGACTCTCCTAGGGCGTGGAGCTTCCGGTGCGACATGAACTTGCTTGATCTTCTCTTCTTCATGACGTTTGTGTTCAGGTGAAGAAACAGATAATGATGGTGTACCATGTTTCTGTAACTTCTTTGACAGATTGGTGTTCCAGTAGTTCTTGATTTCATTGTCTGTTCGTCCAGGTAGCCTCTTTGCTATCAATGCCCATCTGCATAAAGATAAAAACCACTATGCTTTACAACCAAGTAATTCATGTACCAGTTTTCTTTCTTTACTTTAGACTTTGTTACAGTTTTATACTCTTATATTTTAAAAAACTGCCGTCAAAATTGATTGAAAATGGTGCTGTTTATGATAATACTCATGGGATCTTTTGAAAATAAGTTAAAAGACAATAAATAAAAAGCACCTGTTACCAAGAAGACGATGAAGTCTGATAATCATATCTTCTTCATCCACTGATATGTCACCTCTTTTTATACCAGGCTTGAGATAGTTCAGCCACCTTTGTCTGCAGCTTTTTCCACATCGCTTTAAACCTGCAGACATCACTGTGATTTGTATATATATACAACAAAATGCCAATGTCTAGAATAAACAAAACCATGATTTCAGGTCAAAGAAACACACGATTGTTCTGTGAGGTATCATGCAAAATAAACAAAACCAGCTTCCAACTTGAACATTCATTCACCAAATCAATTGCTTCTTAGACTACAGATTTTTACAATGAATTTCTATGAGAATGATGTGAATGTGGATACCTGCATTTTGGGCAACCTTCTGCCATTTTCCTTCTCCATGGATGGCAACATATTTGGAGAGGGTTTCGTCTTCTTCTCGAGACCAAGCACCTTTGTTGATCTCTTTGGGACAGCATGGTCTTCTTCCCATTTTCTTCAACAATGTTCCTTCTCACTACACACACAATCTATACTTTCATATTGCACTCAGATTAACACCTGGCACGCATAAAACATCAGTCTTATTATTACAAATATGATTAGGTTATCTTAGGAAACATGTTGTACTTTCAATATTCCGTAGCTACTGAAATGCTAGTCTTGTCTCTTTTCTTTCCACAACTATCTATTGATACAATTCTATAAATTTAAAGTACTGGTAGTACTCACTATTAATATTGTTTTTTCCTATATTTTTGTTTATAGCTGCAATAACAATTTGTCATAACTATATTATTTGCTACTTTTAAAATATTTTTGTTTTAAATTCTTTATTACTTTAAAGCATAAGTATAAGTTATTTTTCAAAAATCATATTTGAAATATAGTGTCATAGGTATATATGTAGAGAGAGATGTAAATGTACAACAATAGTTAATCATTGAATAATGATACACATACATGTTTATTTTGTCTATATCTATTATATATTTGTTTTTTCTTTTTATGTCTTTCTTCTCATCACATCATCCAACATATTTATTTATTATTTTTGTTGTCTCTCTATGTGTATATGAATAAATTTCTAAATCATTTATAGGATTGAATATTTTGGTTAAACACCAACAAAAGAGTTAGTATAATAATCGATTATTAAATTTTAAAATATACATAATAAATACATTGAATGAGAAATAAAAATGAGAGTGATAAAATATTAATTAAATATTTGATCATGGAGTTTGCATTAATTTTAAATTGTCTAAGAAATAGAGTTAGGAGGAAAAGAATGAATGATTAATATTAAAGGGAGAGAGCAATGGTGTACTTCAAAGGGGACCATTCAACAACTGATGGACCATTACCAACCATGAATTTCATGTATGCAATATGGAGAAACCTTTTGGAGGTTGTGACCTGTGACACAATCAACTCTTCCATATGTAGAAACCTCATTAATGGGTACTTTAAACTAAGGACCAAACACACCCTCTTTTAAAGATATGTGAGAAATAACTAAACAATCAAATTATTCTTTCCACCATAATTTTTTAACAATTGAATTTGTATATTGGCTTTAGTATATGGATCTTATTCATATCAACTTTTTCACATTTCACATTTGCATATAAAAGTGTGGTGCTTTCTTTTTGACACTCGATTGAAGGTGGCATCCCTTTTATCATCTTATTGTATATGGATCAACTTAGGTTATTATCCAACCATTCATATAATCTCCATCCTTATATCAAGTAAAGACATATAATACAGTCAATCTAGATAAACTCTAAAAGTAATGTTATCACATATTTTATTTTGTACTACCAAATTTTTTTAAAATTTTAAAATTCTTCTCTACAATTCAAAAAATCCTATATCCCATTTTTTTGCTTAATCCAATAAAGATTTTCTTTCTTCAGATTTCGAAATTCGATGAAGGATTTTCAAGGCTTATCCAATTTCAAAATTCGATGAATAATTTTTTTTTCATCGAATTTCAAAATCTGATAAGAATTTTTCATTCTTTTCGTCGAATTTTGAAATTCATTGAGATCTTGAAAAACTTTCATCGGATTTCGAAATCCAATTAAGACAAAATCTTTCATCGGATTTCGAAATTCAATAAAGAAAAAATCATTCACTGAATTTTAAAACTCGATGATAAAAAATGTAACCTCTGAGACTATTTTTTGAAATTGAAAATACATAATGAAATGATTGAAGTTACAAAGTGAAACAATCTACATAATTTAGAGTTGTAAAAAATGTCTAATATAAATAAACTCTTGCCCACATGAACCAATAAAGCTCTTACGGGTTTAGAAAGATCCATGGGTCTTTAAGATATTAAAAATTTGACCTACTCCTTTTAGTATTTTTCTTGAAGTCATTTAAAAATTACGGTGGTGTTTAAGATAATAAGTCAATACTAAATTTAAGATAAGTTAATTGAACTCTAATTAAAAGTATTCTAATAATTAAAAAGTATGTTTTACTTAAGTCAATAGAAAATATGATTAGACTAGTATTAGTTAATAGTAAGAATATGACAAATGCCGTAAAAAAATGTGTTAATTGAGGTTAACAATAAAAAATTAAATTGAGGTCAATTGAAAAAAAGTTTTAATTAAGTTCGATTAAAATGTTCTAAATAATACCAAAGATTAACTAAAATTGAACTAATGAAAAAAAAAATGTCGTAATAAAAGCCAAGGCGAAGATCCTTCGACGAGTCGAAAATATATTTAATAAGATTATCATAGTGTTTTAAATACGACGACCAAACAAAAATTATCTTAAAGGTGAAGATAAAGATGCCTAAATCTAAACCAACTAAAACATATACTTAATCGAAATTGACTAAAAAATAACTAATAATGGTTAAGCTGACAATAATTAAAAAAAAAATTGACCAAGAACAAAGTAAAATATGTTTCATTTAAAGCCAATAGATTCTTTAGTTAAGTCAAACAAATATGAACTAAAATTACTCCTTAAAATTGAGTTAAAAATTATTTGAAGTCAAACTAAAATTACTTTATCATATAAATATGAGCTAAAATTACTACTTAAATTTGAGTTAAAAGACTTCCACGAAGTCAAAATAAATTACTTTACCAGAAACCAAGTTCAAATTATTTTCCTTTCTTGTTTTAAGTACCTAGAAATGTTATCTTTTATTTGTATTCTCTATAAAAATGTCGTTTTTATTTAATATTTTGCACATGTACATTTTTTAATTTATTTTGAATCCATGTTATTTTATTTTAATTTATAGAAATCACTTTTGACATCATCATTTGCTAATTTAATAATTTTGGTGAAATGACACATAATATCTACCTTATAATCTCGTTAATTTAAGTGCTATGGAAAAATTGAATAAAAGTACCAAGAGAAATAAAAATGAACAGGAATGAAAAGTATTCTTTAACAGACAACAAAATCAGAAACCCAGAGCCCAAAGCAAATGCTATAATTAGCACATATACTAGCGTTTCGTTTCCGTTTTATATTTGACTACATTAAAATTCAAAGCCCCGATTTGATGGTTTGCTTTACACTCGATCCAAAATTGAAAAGCTTTACACCAGTTTTGCCTACTTAATCATAAACAACATGTATCCTAGTATTTAAACTACAAAATGAACTCGGAAACAGGCAACAATGGACATTAGAAAACCATAATTAAGATCAAACAGTAAAACAAAAGGACTACTATTGAGGGTTGGGGCAATATCAAGAGTTACTGGGATCCTTTAACAACTATTTTTCATGTCTAAATACTAAGTAATTACAGTTCCCTTGTATACTAATCAGTTTCAGAAAGCAATCTCTTTCCAGACCTGCCAGATACCAAAATAATGCATAACACAATTAGAAAACTTACTATCCGCTCAAATAGTGGTAGTTTAAAGTAGCAAAGAGACAAATTAAAGAAAAATAAGGACATTTACAATTTTTATTATCTACAGCATTACTACATAGTCGAATATCGGTAGATAAGTGCTTACTGAAAAAACAAGAAAAGATTTCTGATCGTAATGATTATATATTTTGGAACCAGATTGACTTGTCCGGGTGGTAAGCAAAATAAACAGACCACGACTTCAAAACAAAAGGAACGCGTTAAACAAACAAACAAAAAAAGAATACGAACTTACCAGGCACAGGCAGTCAAACCTAGCAGCACGAAGTCCAAAATCAAAAGTTCATTAAAACCTTGTCATCTGCTGTAGCATTTGAGAACCAGCTGCCTGAGAAACCAACTGCTCTGAACTCATGGGTCTTACTAGATGGTGAGCTCCCATAGGGGTAGGATTTGAAATGCCCTGTCTACTCGACTCTTTAGAACTATTAATATTTGACTCAGAGGCCGAAGATTCCATCATTGTGCGAATCTGATCATTGAAAAAGAAAAGTTAGAAAAAAACACCAATTATATATTGTCCAACGGAAGAAATACAGATCAACCATATGCAAGAATCCTCCAAACGTACAATATCCAGGCGCCTCTTGTGAAGGTCATTTAATTGCTGCAAGTTTGAAAAATAGAATGTAAGATGATGAGATTGATTTCTTATTTTTGGGAAAGGGGAAAAGGAGGAAGAGAGAAAAACGCTTTATTGCATACAGGTTTGCTTTGATACTTCTTCTCTTCACTTGAATATCCAGGAATTGTTAAATCCCAATTTTTCTCTGCATAACACGGCAAATAGATAAATCAGCAAAGCTTTGATGCCAATTCTTGCAAACCATGATCATAATGTGCTATCAATCCAAGCATTCAATGTAAACCACATTCAAGATATCAGGAATATCACGGTCTTTTATAGATCATAGAAGCCTCAAATAAGTCGACAGGACTATATTGAAAGTAAAATTCTAACACAGGGCTTGGTAAAAGTCAACACAACATACAACTTATCTAGTCCGTCAGTAACCCAAAGAATAGGATTCAAAGATCAAATACATATATCAGAAAAAAAATGCACAAGAAAGAGACAGCAGTAGAATTTAGACTCAAGGCCTAAGTCAACCCTTGCACACGCTGTACAAGTTCTATTTCATAGTCGATATGAGAAGTTACTATCCTTTGCGGCTGCAATTATTAAAGTAGCCCCTAAAGAGGCCATAACAAAAGCAGGTTGGGGTAAATGCAATTAAGGTGGGTTTTCAACATACAGTAAGTAACTCTCCTATCTCTTTGCATGAGTAAACAATATTCATATTAAGAGAGCATATTTAATCACTTAGACAAAAGCTGCATGAAGCTAATAAAGTAGCCAATAATACTTCAGTGGTCAAATTTGTTTAACAAAATTTTAAACTAAATCACTTTGAAACACACAACAGTTTCTTCTTCTTTTGAACAGGTGAGCTGAAAATAAGGTACACAAACAACATACCGAGGTGTAGCAATAAATCCTTGGACTCCAAAGTTGATGATTTTCTATGTTTTGCCAAAATGCAACCATGTGTAGTTGTCTGCGTGCAAGAAAATGATAAGTACATTTCTGAAAAACATAACAATCTTGGCCAAACACAAAATTATCAACAGTACATTTTCACATCAAAGCAAAGAAATAGAATACAATCCAGTTTCAAAATATTTATTTCCTCGGGAGACAATCCTGCATGACCATGACATTCGCGAGTGCTGAGTATTACACTATGCACAGCAGTAAAATTTTAGCAAATCAACAATAAAGCTGGAAAATTGTCAATAGATTATTGTGTCAAAAAATCACTCAACCTAAAAGTTAATGTTGAAAAGTGATGTGGGAATACATTTAACACACAACATTAATAATATCAAGAATCCAGAGTTAAGACATTATTAATCTTTCAAATTGTAATCAACATGCAAGCTTTATAAGTCCAATTATAATATATGTTGTATATAATTCAGTTAGTGTTGTATGTTAGTTAGGTAGTGGCTGTCAACAAACTGCTTATAATATTTCTATAAATAGTAATGATGTATTCTTTCTGATACATCATGTGTTTGAAATATAAAATTTCAGATTCAGTGTCCATATCCCCTGTTCTCTTTCCCTATTCTTCTCTGTTCTTGAGAGTGTATCTAGTTTGTTCTATCAATAAAATCAATCCACTCAACAACTTCAATAATAAATTCCTGTATGGCAGGCAAGTTTATTTCACATGGTGTTTGCCCTGGATATCTAAAGTCAGGGCCTGCTGCTGGGTAACCATGAACTGTTTCGCATGCACTATATACGCATTCATCATGAAGTTGAAAAAAAAAAGATAAAACATCTTAGCATCCTTACAGAGTCAATGAAGTCATCAGCAAGCTCTAAAAGAAGATCTATAACTTCGGGGTCCAGTGTACCTTGTGGATCCACCTGTACAATAAAGTTATGATTCAAAACATAACCAATATAAAAAAATTATGAAAAGGACAAAAGTTCAAGGAGAACCTGTGCAACTAAATCCTGTATCTTTCTCTTCCCAAGAACTTGGTTTGTTGCTTCTGTTCCTTGGCTAGAACTACCACCTGGTGTAGTTGCACCAGATGCAGTAGCGTCTGGCTGTGATCCTGTTAGACTGAATGACTTTTGGCCTGCAGTTCCTGGCATCCTTGGAGACTGTTGCTGTTGATGGACAGAAGCCTGTGGCTGAGACTGTTGTTGTGGCTGCTGATGTAAGAGCTGTTGTTGCAGCTGTTGTTGAGGCTGCTGCTGCTGTTGCTGCTGATGCAGCTGAGACTGCCCCATCGATTTCTGTTGCTGAATCAGCTGGGACAATTGTTGCTGGTTCAGGCTCATAGAGTTTTGTTGCAATTGAGTAGAAGAAGCCAACGGCTGCCTCTGCTGCTGTTGAAGACGCAATGGTGAGGCAGGGCCAGACATTGCTGGCATTTGCTTAAGCCACTGTTGCTGTGTTAAGGAGTTATGAACCATCCCTGGTTGCCCATTCTGAGACAACCCAGACAACTGAGAGTTCATAAAAGCAAGGGATGATGACCTTGGTAAACCTTGAACCTGCAGTCAATAGCATTATCAATGCTCTAATTCATCTCAATTCCATTTTGAAAAGTTCTATACATATTTACAAAAGTCAATTGAAGTAATTCTTGACATCTTGAGCACGAAGATAAACACATAAGTCCATTCCAACAGAAAATAATTATATATTATAATCATCTCAAAACCCATTCATTCTCTGAAAATTTATAATTATATATTATACATTAAGCCCATTTGTAACCAAAAATTTGGCCCATTCAAAATCTTGTATTTATGAACAAAAAAAAGTCCCATTCACAAATCAAAGGAGAAAAATCATAGGCAAAAATACATCAGATAAACCTTATAAGCAAAAACATCAGAGAAACCTGGGTGGTGGTGGCAGTGGCGGCACAATCACAGTTTGCAATAATTTAGTTCACAAAACCAAGTTTGAAACAAAGTCACAAGAAAATGGGGCTGTGGTCCAGGGTGACAGATTGGAGATGGCAGTTCAAAACAGTAAATGTGTCACAAATGGGTGAGGAGATAGGGTTGCACAGCAGACTATTAGTGTTTTTCAAATGAAGAAAGAAAATGTTTAGGGTTTGTTTCCCCCTCCCCCCGCCCAAAGATTGCCAGGGAATCACATGCTTTTAAACAACAATCATACACTTTTATAATATTGTGATTCTACTATAATTGATCTTATCTTCAAGTCAGCAACGGAGCCCTTCTTCTAATTATAGAATTGTGCAACTTATGAGTAAAATATCAATTTTAACAACGGAGCCCTAGCTCGTTCCATGAGATTCAGTGAAATATTTCAAAATTCCAAATCAACTTTGTCAACATTCCTAATCATGTATGGTAATAATCCACCCATTGAGTGGGGGTATAAACAATGGACGCTACTATGTGGGACAAACGAGACCGCCAATGGGGTTAGGGCTAGTTTGAAGCAATTCAATGAATAAGACAGGATAACTATTTGAAATGAATCAGAGAGTGAGCACAAAACATTTTGAAGATATTAAAATAGAGTATGATGAGAATTAAAAGGACATTCAATTAATAAAAGAAAGTATGGATTAGTAGAGCGAAAAACATGTTAGTTTAAACTTGAAAGAAAAAGTGACTTTAAGGAAATATAAAAAAAGTAATTTATTTTTTTAGAAATTTTATAAAATAATATATTTCTTGTTCAGTTATGATTATAAAAGGTACTTATTATTCTGAAAGTTGTGTATAATGACAGTTTTTTCCAGAAGCTATTGAAAACAGATTCTAAACACAATAAAATATATATATATATATATACATACATTTTTTTTTCTTATAAGGCTTAGACAAAATACTAGAAAAAATTATAAGTAATTTTTCTTCAAATAAAAGTGGTTATTTGTAAAAGAAAGTTCAAACAACTGGACAAGATCTAGATAAAATGGAAGGTGGCAGAACAATTGGTGGAATATAATTTCAGTCTTATGGGTCATTTTGATAAAATAGCAAGTATCAGAAACTTTTATGGCATGTGTTCCGGTGACAATGAAAACAAATTGCAAATCCTGCCATAGAAGACCAAATTAACAGTCTATGACAACTAATAAGAATTTCTAGCCTCTGGAGCTCCAGCCAACCCCAACTTATGAGATGAAATGAACAACCGAGGTAGTGACACTAGGATAAACATTCTACTCAGATACCACCTCTTAAAACAATGGTCTGCATAAAACCAAAACACAATGCGTGCAAGAACAGTCCATAACTAAAAAATCAAATTGGGGTATATCATTGATGTTAAAAGTGAGAAGATATTTGGAAGTCCAAAAGCATGAACTTTAAAAATATGTACATCTTAAAATATCAAAAACACAGCAAACCTTGACAACATGTACATTTAAAATATAATCGATATAAGAGTGTATTACTGGCAAACTGGTCATACGACGAAACAAGAACATTTGTAAGCATTATTATTTCCTAGTTCACTGAAATTGTATCTATAAACATAAAGCATAGAATATACCTGTCCAGTTAGTGAACTTTGCTGAGACATCTGCTGCCTGATTTGACCCGGACCCATTCGCAGCTGCTGTGCATAAGCAAGGGCTCCATTAGCTCGCAGTTGAGAGGTGAGATTTGGCGTTCCAATCATACCCATTGCTTGCATTCCTTGCAGAGACTGTCCAGCAGAATTACCTGAGAACTGAGACTGCTGAACTAGCCCACCTTTTTGCCTTGGCTATACCAAATTGAAAATTATTTAAGAAAAATAGCTTTTTTGACACAGAAGGCATGACACTTCAATATCAATGCAGTAGCCAAATTAAAGGTTGTCAAACAAATTCATATCATGAATTGTTAAGCTAATTCTTTATGATTTATAGTTCAAAGCAAAATAGCTCTAAACGTAACAATTTTATAAAAAATTATGAGTCACAAAACAAAATCACCAGTATCAATATCAAACAAATTATTAAGAGTCTCATAAAAGCATAACGGAACAACTAAATAGAAGAACTGAATACAATAGAGACTATGTGAGAGTTTGAAACTGCTACTACTTCAGAGGAATGAAAATAGATCATTGGAACAAATAAGTTGGGTAAGTTTCGTAATGTACCTTTAAAAACCTTTTTATTTTGAAGGTTGTCTTATTGGACTTTTCATTTTCTTCTATGAAAAATGGTAAAAGAAAAGTAAGACAAAAATCGTATCACAGTAGATGAAGTTGGCTACATGAGTTGTTTAATATAATTGGGCTCACATACAGACCAAATTCTCAAGGATACTATTCACATGAAATCTCTTTTAACAATTTCCTCTAATGTTAAACTTGGTTTCCCTTTACCCCTTTTCAAAAGCCTAAAAATCACCCAATATACCCTACTCCTCAGTGCTTCCAGTGGAAAATGGTAAAAGAAAAGTAAAAATAAAGAACCACGGATTGTGTGAATGGTATGAGTATATAAAATTGTAGTGATTGTCTCATTCATCCATGTATCACAAGATTCAAAGATTATGTGATTCATCGGAAGACATACAAATTCCTGGATAGCCTAATTGTATAGAATCAGGCAATCCAAATAAAGATTGTAATAACCATCCATTAAAAAAACACCAACCGCAAATCACATTTATAACCAACATGGTTTGTGAAGTCATCCAGCAATAACACTGCTCGGTATTACCAGACATGAAAACTTGGTGTTATTAAAACACAGCCACACTATCGGGAAAGAATTTATACAAAACCTATCACAAATACCTAATAACAAACCATGGAACTAGACTTCAGCATGGTTGAAAAGGTACACCGTAAGGCAACTCAGTTGCTCCGATGGATTCCAATCCTCTCCAGTTCATGAAATAATAAACAGATACAACTTCTATAAAGTAACAACTCATCCTTATGCACAAGTTGCGAAATTATATCAGTGACATGACTATGGCCCTCTTTGGATCATCATTTCCATAAACCTTCACAGGGGGAAAAAGCTACAGTAAACAGGCTTATGGAAAATTTAATTTTTTTTTTTCATTAAACAGGCTTACTGGAGTTTTTAGGAAAAGAAATCTATACCCAAATAACTACAGTACGATTTACCAATTTTACTCCATTCAGTATCAAACACGAAAGACGAAATGCAAAAACAATTAGCAGAGGAAAACGAAGTTGAATCATACCGAGGAGAGCAAGTTAAACTGCGAGCCAGCACCAGACAACATGGGGAAGTGTCCGCTCTGCCCTATCAGCGCGGACCGCGACAAATTGGAGCCGCCCAACTGCTGCTGCTGGCCCGCTCCGCCACCCGCGGCAGCAAAGCTCATCTGTCCGCCGTACAATCCGGCCTGCTGGCGCATGACGCCGAACTGCTGCTGAGGCTGGATTTGATTGAGGCGCGAGATGGAAGGCGATCGCTGCAGCGTCTGCTGGAGTTGGAAATTGGAGATAGGGTTGATGCCGTTGATGGTGTTCATGGCTTGCGACGACACGAGAGGCTGTTGTTGTTGAGGCGGACTCAACTGTTGATGAAGATTTTGCTGCTGCTGCTGTTGCTGTTGCTGGTCTTGGGGAAGCGGAGGGAGCGAAGGTGAAGGCATGTTGTTGTGGGAAGGGGAAGGGATTGTAGGGTTGGAGGATGGTGCGGGGTTTTGAGGGTCCAATGGTGAGGGTTTGGACGACGGTGATGCGCTTTCCGCCATTGATTTTGATGTGATCGATTGATCAATCGGTGCTATGATGCGGCCATGGGCGTGCAGGGGAAGGCGCAGAGAGCTGAGTTGAATTGAAGGAAGGCGGAAGGCTGGAGAATCGATCTGCGTCAAGAACCTTGCTTTCGAACAACACAAACAAAACAATCTCTTCCTTTCTTCAAAATCGAAAAAACCCTTTTATCCATTATCGAATACTGAAACAATTCTTCAATATCTTTCTTAATGGCTAATCCTCAATCTGTATGACAAACTTCCATGCCAGCTGGGATAAAAGTTTTAACAAAATATTAACACGATATATCATAATTGCTATTTAATTAAATAAGCGACGAGTATTATGTTTTTTTCTATTAAATATGTTTTTTTTTCCACAATTTTAAGTAAAGATTGGAATTAGTCCTTTTTCAAAATTTTGGCCTAATTTAGTCTCCAAACTTTAGAAATATATGAATTTAGTTCTTTTAACTAAATTTTGTTAGATTTATTTTATGTTTCAAGCACGTCTCATGATAGTATTTGGACTAAATTCATACATTTCTAGGAATTGAATTAGGTCGAAGTTTTGAAGAGAGACTAGTTCCAATTTTCACTAAAAATTAAGGATCAAAAATATATTTAACCTATTTTTTTTTATTTGGCTAAAACAAATTTATTGTAATTAATATCTATTTTAATTGATTATTGTAATATATAATCTATTTATTGTACTGATTATAGTACAATCTATTCCGATCCCATTTTACATGAATATTTTATTTATAATATAAGTTTAAATTAAGTAGTTGAGTCAAAATTTTCTTCTGAGATCAAGATAGTCGCAAATTCGACTCATTGTCATCCTATTCCCAGACACTATTTTTTCACTTAAAAAAAATCAATTATAAACATCAACACCTATTTTATATGTAATTTTAAAAATCTATAATGAAGATATATCTTTAGATTAAAAAATTTATCCTTAAATAAATAAAAAATAATTTATTTATTTACTTTTAGATAAATATTTGATTATATATATATATATATATATATATATATATATATTGTTTTTAGTACAATGATAACGTTGTTTAGCTTTTCCAGAGGATTTGCATTGATTAAAAAGAAAAACACAAACAAACATCGGCCAAGAAACTAAAGAACGTTGTTAATTGATCTGAATATCTGAATGAAAAATAAAATTAAGGCTTAATACTCTATTTTGTCCCCAGTTTCGGTCGAAAATGTCAAACTAGTCCATCTTTTTAAAAAATGCGTCAATTATATCCTCACTTAATAAAATTTGTATCAATGAAATCCCTTCTGTTAAATCCGTACAAACGGCGTTAATTATTTTTCTCTCTTATTAAATAACGCTGTTTGTACGGATTTAACGGAAGGGATTTCATTGATGCAAATTTTATTAAGTGAGACGTAATGCATTTTTTAAAGGATGGACTAATTTGACATTTTCGACCGAAACTAGGGACAAAAGAGGGTATTAAGCCTAAAATTAATTTAATTTGATATAAATTACTAGAATACAAGTGTCACAAAATGAAGAAAAACATGATAGAACGGGCATGTTCAGGAACCCTAATTTGTAGTACAACATGAGTACAGTGAGCTATGTTCTTGGTCAAATCAGGTTTATCACAACAGAAGTAATCTTGGACTCCAAAATTGGTGGAATTCAGCTTTCCAAACTCTATCATTTTTCTTCTCGGGTAATTTTCCCTGCTATCCTTTTAAACACATCAAACAGAACAAAAACATTACAGAAATGTAGACTAGAACAATTTGAGATTCCCTAGCAAGAGAACAATGGCTTATGCTCACTGCTCTTCCTGCCTTTTGGAAAGAGGCAATTACAAATCCAGGGTCATCTCTTGCGTTCCATGACATTGCTGGAACACTAATCTCACGAGTTCTGTCCCCATGAACGTGATCAGAAAACGTATACCTGTGAGCACTGAAAATAATCCTGCAGACAACGGGTAGATAGGCATGTCAAAGAACCATCATAGGACCAATATTTTTGTACCTGAAGGCTGGAAGAAGTATAACTTATGACTGAAACCATAACATTTTTCCAGAAACACACGTAACATGCAAGAGAGAATCCAATCAAGTACTTATCATATGAACACACAATCAAATATGCACTTGATTACCTTGGTTTCAAAGCTTGTAAAATGTACTCAGAAGCATTCGGAGGCAGGGTATGAAGCAACTTGTACAGGCCACCCCTAATTCAAAAAGAAATAATTAGGAACCGAAAGTTTAACAACATGAATAATGCAAGAAGGAACACTGACAATTGCCTAACAAACTAAACAGCATAAAACTATAAACACAGATAAATATACCAAAAAATTTATTCAAGGAACTACGATTATACTCAGTCACACACTTTCAGAAAAGACTATAAGAAATGTACATCCTTCGGCAGAATGGTATATTTGGTCATGAAAGTGTAGTGTGATTCCAAGTCGGCATGACCATTTAAATAAACTAAAATAAAGTCCCGAAAGCAGCTTTCATATTTCACATTCATCTTCTATTTCATATGATTCATTGCATGATATCATTGAAATGCAATTTAGTCTCATATTTCACACTCATCTCTTAGTTCAAATGAGTTTGTCTGTGGTGTTATTAAAACACAATTTAGTTTCTTTATCTTATCATCAAGATGCAACATGGATCTCCAACAGCCCTGACGTCGAGGATTGAACATCTTAAATGTAGAAATAATGAAGGGCCTATTTGCAACTGCAAAATATGTCAAACAAACTTCACCAGACTCTAATACTATCTAAGAAAGTGAACTTAAGCCTGGTTCATCCTTTGAGATTTGCTCCCGCTTAACTTATATACTATAATTTAGTCATATGAATAGGGGATCTTCAACATTAGTCATAGATAGAGCAACTAAATTACATATTAATGATAATATGATCGTATTCAAAACCAAGGATGAATGTGAAAGACTAAAGCTACCAACCACTAACCTGCTTTCTGGCACCACATTTAACCCCTCCATGGAAGAAGTCCAATACTTCTCAAAATCACCAACCGAACCAAAGTGTTCATTCCTCGTTTGATCCAACGGCAGGTGCAGCAAAACGACAGGCCCTGACCCAGATAAAACATCCGCATCTGCAAACTCCCCAAAACCATTGACTCTCTTCACCACCCTCTCCGTTCCCATGTGAACCTCCACACTCTCCCTTTCTATCACCTTCTCCACCTCAAAACGCAACCCACCACTCCCCCCGCAAAGCAGAGCCATCGCGTTCAGCGTGACAAAACTCACGTTCCCAATCTCAAACGCGGCGCAGCCAGAGGAATCCAACCCAGGAAGCTTGCTCGCAATCCAACTAACCCTATCAACATCAACGGCCCCACACTCTCCAACGTCTCTGTCGCCGAGAACAGCGTGGAACGGAAGCCCAACAAAAGGGCCCAACACTCTGTAAAACCTCCGCAGCACCGACACCCACTTGCTCCTCGTTAGCTCCGAGCCTCGCGCCGAAACGTCGCCCAACACCAGAAGCAAATCGGGCCGCAGCACCTCGAACGATTTCTGAGCAATCGGTGACGCGTGGATAAATTAAAAAAAATTGAAATTGAGAAAACGGGGTTGTAGAAGTGGGTACCTTGAGTCCTCAACGTTAGTACCCGAAAGAATTTGGACATGTAGTAGTCTCGGAAGAAGCGGTTGACGAAACCGGAATCGGAGAGAAGGAGGTCAGCGACCATCATGACTTTAAGGTTGTTGTCGATGATGTTGTCGGTGTTGTTGCAAGAAGGCGTTGACACCCAGTCCTCGAAAAGGAGAAGAGAGAGGATTGCGAGTAGCATGAGGAAGAGCGTTCTGAAAGTAAGCGCCATGGTTACGCTTCTTCTTTACACATCTGCTTCTCACTCCATTCTTCTCGTATCTCACTTTCTGCGGCGCTGTTTGGTTTCTTTTCGATCACTGCCATTGTTACGTCACGTGTTAGTTACCGAAGGATACACACTGCAAATTCAAAGCTCTCTCTCACTCCTTTTACTTCCATATTTTTTTACCAATGCTCCATTTAACTTCTTACCAAGATAATTTGCTCATTATATTTTTTATTTTATTTCCTATTTAACATTCGTTATAAATATAGAATTTAGAAAGTATTAAATTTTTTATATCGGTTATACAGTTGATATAAAAAGTTTTCCTTTGATATCAATTATTTCTAAAATTAATATGAAAAATCTCATTTTTCTACTGATTATGTTTATAACAAATATAAAAAATATCATTTTTTATATTAATCTAATCAAGTATAAAAATTCTTTTTTTCATATTTATTATTATTGAAATAAGTATAAAAAGCTTATTTTTATACGTATCAGTACCATAATAAATATAAAAAGTCTCTGTTTTTTATATCTATTGTCACTATAACATGTGTGACTTATGATACAGTGTGTAACTTTATGATTTTTCAAAGAGAATACAAATTTGGAGAGAATGGAATTAGGTGAAAAAAATTCACATTCAAAGGTACTAAAATTAAAATAAAAAATATTTTATATGTATCAACACGTACAAGTAAAGTGAAATAATTAGAAAATTATTAAATATAAAAGGAGATTTGGAATCTAATATTCATAAACGAAGGCATAAAGTGAAGTGTAAACGTTAGGCTTACAAAAGTGACATGCCCTTTTGTTAGGCCAAACTTTCCACGGCCTGTTCTTTTCACGTTTTTTTTTCTCTTCTCTTTTATGTTTCGTCAGTTTTCTCTTATATTATAGCTTCTTTTTTACAAAATGACTACCTAATATAATTATTTCATTTTTAGTAACGTTATCCTTAATTATTTATAAGTAAAGACCATTATTCTTCTTTTATTACTGTTTTAGTCTAAGAGGTCCAAATTAATTTTACTCCTTATAACGATTTCCAGACTCCAAGCTTGAGTATAAGTTTTTTCTTTTACTTCACGTTAGTTATTGTTTGGTTTATCTATTCTAATACTAAAGTCAGTAAATATCTCATGTATTAGTATTAATAATGTACAACCAATATAACTAACTATCTGAAAATCATAAATATATATTTATGAATTTAAGATAGATTTTTTATTAGCGATATCCTAATTATAACTCAAACCGTAATAAACTAGCTTATACTTAACATAATTATTCTTAATGTTATTTTAAATTCAATTTTAGTCTGACCATTTGATCTTTTGGTCGGCTTATATAAAATCGTAAATTCAATCGATCGCTAGCTTTTGATTAATCGAACTATCATACGGTAGAGAAATTATTAAGCATTCAGTAGTATTTCTTTTCTTTTTGTTTAATTTTGAAAAGTTGATAGTAATGGTGGTTTTACATTTATTGGTGTGGTTAGGTGTAGATGGTGGTTTAGAATGGGTAATGTAAGTACAGAGAAGTAGCATAAGAACTCACATGCTATGTTTAGTCATTTACTAATGAACATGCGTGATTTCAACGTACACAATTCTTACTGGATCACATTACTATAAAGTTCTACCACCTTCTTTTCTTACCAACTTTTTTTTTTTAATTTCCTACTACTTATATAAAATCAGTAATAATTTTACATGCGATGTTTACTGAATATATATATATATATATATATATATATATATATATATATGAATATACGAATCTACTCTGTTTAATTATTATATGAATGCATGATTTTCTTAATAGGATATGATTATATGAATATATGAATTTAATGATATTGTTGATTTTAGTTGTATGTATAAAGTTGTTAAAATGCATATATTTCGTTAAGTAAATATAGATGGAAGCACTAGTGCAATCAGGAGAAACAACAGCGGTTTTTTTCGCCAATAGACAGCGGTTCCTGAACCGAGGAATATTCAGGCGAGGCAAAAAGTATACCACTTTTGGCCTCGGTTCTGAATCGAGGAATGAAAAGGTAGGATACTGCCTCGGTTGGGACAATAACCGAGGCAGTAT